TTGACAAGGGTCGGACTCAGACCCTCTCCAAGTCACCCTGTAGGTACGGTCTTTCAGGTATGAGGTGAGGAGGGAAAGTGCAGAGCCTGAAACTCCAAGTTTTTGGAGAGTGCGAAGGAGGATCTGATGATTCACCGTGTCGAATGCAGCAGACAGGTCCAACAGGATGATGACAGAGGAGAGGGATGCAGTTTTGGCAGTGTACAGTTCCTCCGTGACAGCAATGAGAGCAGTTTCTGTGGAGTGACCAGCCTTGAAACCAGACTGGTGCGGATCCAGAAGGTTGTTCTGATTGAGATAACAGGAGAGTTGTTTAAAGACAGCGCGTTCAAGTGATTTAGACAGGAACGGGAGGAGAGAGACAGGCCTGTAGTTTATAACATCAGACGGGTTGAGAGTAGGTTTCTTTAGGAGAGGGTTTACTCTTGCCTCCTTGAGACTGTTTGGAAAGTGACCAGAAGTTAGAGAAGTGTTGATGAAATGGGTGAGAAACGGTAGAATATCAGGAGCGATAGTCTGAAGGAGGTTTGAAGGGATAGGGTCCAGAGGACAGGTGGTAGGGCGGGCAGAGGTAATGAGGGTAAGAACCTCACTTGGAGAGAGAGGGGAAAAGGAGGTTAGTGTGTTGGTGGAAGGAAGGTCTGGTGACCCAGCGGTGAGTAAAGGTGAGTCAGAAAAAGAAGAGCGAATATCATCAACCTTTTTTTCAAAGTGGGTAACAAAGTCGCTTGACAGAAGTGAGGAGGGGGGAGGAGCTTTTGGAGGGTCCAAGAGGGTGGAGAAGATGGAAAATAGTTTTTTAGGATTGGAATAGGAAGATTGGATCTTATCTTGAAAGAAAGTGCTTTTTGCCTGAGAGATCGAAGCAGAGAAAGAGGAGAGGAGAGCTTGATAGGTTAGGAGGTCGTCACGGTGTTTGGATTTCCACCATTTCCGCTCTGCTGCCCTAAGGACGGTTCTATTAGCACGCAGTGCATCATTTAGCCAGGGAGCAGGAGGGGACTGACGAGCCTGCCGAGATGTGAGAGGACAGAGCGAGTCCAGAGTGGATGAGAGAGTAGAGAGGAGAGTTTCTGCAGCAGAGTTTGGAGGCAGTAGTTGGAACGAATCAGAGGAAGGGAGGGCTGAGAGCACCGACGAGGCAAAGGTAGAGGGGGAGAGGGAGCGAAGGTTACGGCGGACAAGTGTAGGATGGGAAGAGATTAGTTTGTTATGTTTGGAAAGGGATAGAGAGAATGAAATGAAGAAGTGATCGGATGTGTGGAGCGGGTTTACAGAGAGGTTAGAAGTAGCGCAGTTCCTTGAGAATATGAGATCAAGGACATTGCCAGCTTTATGAGTCGGTGGGGACGGAGACAGTGAGAAAGCAAAGGCGGTTAACAGAGATGTTAGTTCGTCTATCTTCCCCATCTGGAGGTTGAAGTCTCCGAGAAGTACAGCGGGAGGGCCAGTTTCAGGGATGTGTGAGAGGAGATGATCTAATTCCTCCAAGAAGTCCCCCAAGGCGCCTGGCGGACGGTAGAGAACAACAATGGTTAACTGTATAGGATGGGTTACTGTGACGGCATGGAATTCAAAGGTGGAAGGAGTGAAGTTAGGTAGCTTGAAGAGGGAAAAGCTCCATTTGGGAGAGAGCAGGAGACCAGTGCCACCTCCTCTGCCAGTGGGTCTGGGTGTATGGGAGAAGGAATATGCAGTGGAGAGAGGGGATCGCTCAAGCCAGCCGTTTCCTATCTAGTTAGGTGCGCGTTCACATGAAAGGGGTGGTATTTGGAGCATTCGACCAATCACAAACATGAAGAAGCGCACTGACAGCGCAGTCATACTTCCTGAATGAAAAGTGAACTTTAATACTAGTCAAAAATGAAGAAGTTAAACTTTAAACATCCATGACTTAAACACTTGATCCAGGATAAAAGCCACAGAGCTGCACCTGCAAGGTGAATACAGCTGGCAAAAGAAAAAGTGTTTGAATGCGTACATTAACAGGTTTATGATATCACTGCCCCGTCTAAAACACGATCTGACTTTAATTACATTTGTCTCGAGTGTTTCGTCAACTTAATGTGTTGCTTAAAATAATACTTCTGCATCCAGTCTGTGACACTGTGAGTGTTGCACGGCCAGATACGGCTCAGCTGACTCAGATAAGAAAATATATGATACATTATGAAGTGATATGCCGCGGACTGTACTTAATGTTACTCTGATCCGGTTACTTATGTTGTGGTAGATATGTGGTAAGTGTTCTTCACGCTAATGTTATAATAGTCAGATTGCTCTGAAGATGGAGGTGATATTCTATTAATGTTCACGTTCACACAGTCGGTGATTTTTGCCGGCCGTCTTTCCTGCAATGGCAGCTTTTCTGTATTTCCTTTCTCCTGTAATATGACTTGATCGCTTTAAACTCCGCACACTGAGCTCTGATTGGTCAGCAGGCAGTGCTTTCACTGAGTTGAGCTCTTAGCCTGCAACCTAACCTGGTCCCGACCAGGTTAGCCGCTAAGCATAAGTTACCATGGAGATCTAGCCTGCTAAAAAGAGAACCAGCTTCGTAGGACCGGAAAGCCGGAGTTTTCCCTGAATTTAGCCGGCTAAGCGAAAATCCTGCTTCGTAGTCTACCCCCCAGGTATCACATGTTGCTGCTGGGATAAGGTGCTTTGTCCAGGCAAGAATTGTAGTCACCACACACACCTACACCACACACACGCACCTACAGCTCCTAAAGCATATAATCAGGCTACAGCCGTTGTGTATTTTATTATGTGAAGCACTAAATGGTTTTAGAAAAATATGGACTCTTTGTTTGTAGTTATCTACTAAACTAAAGCAAATAAAGAGAGTAATGTAGGCCTGTTATACTGAGTGATATATAGTATACACACTGCTCTGCTTTCTGCACGGACCTCACAGCTGTTCTCTCTGTAAACATCGCGTCACGATGAAAGCAGTTAATAAAATAATATCCAGTGGATGCATGCAGAGCTGTCATTGGCTGAGATAAGTCCGGCCGTGTGTCACGACTCTTTGAAACATCTCTGTTCCCGGAAATGCATCCGCGAAGGAGCCGTGGAGGACCGTGGAGGACCCATCAGTGTATCCTCGGTTATAGCTCCTCCAGAGAGCCTCCTCGATCCTCGGTCCTCGACGTGCATTTAGAGAAATGAGATGTCCTTCAACATGGCGCGCTAAAATTCATTTCCGGGTCACTACCGGAGGACCGAGGAGTCGAGGAGGGGGATTTGATGAAATGAGAAAGGGCCCGTGTGTGTGTGTGTGTGTGTGTGTGTGTGTGTGTGTGTGTGTGTGTGTGTGTGTGTGTGTGTGTGTGTGTGTGTGTGTGTGTGTGTGTGTGTGTGTGTGTGTGTGTGTGTGTGTGTGTGTGTGTGTGTGTGTGTGTGTGTGTGTGTGTGTGTGTGTGTGTGTCATAATATAAAATAAAAGACTAATACAGGAAGTAAAGCTTTTAAAATAAAACTTAAAATAGTGCTTACCAATTCTACTAAAATATATTTTTATTATTATTATTAGAATAATAATTAAATAATATGTGTATTAAAATAAAAATAATAATAGAAATAATATTTTATTAAGAATCATTTTTATCATACTAATAACACTAATAATAATAATAATAATTAATGTTGGTACATAATCTGAATTATGGATTGTATTTTAATGGAATTCTTGAATTGATGGGTTTCAAAGAGAAAGACTAAATATCAGTGATATAACAACAACAACAACAACAACAACAACAACAACAACAACAACAACAACAATATGGTAAATAAGATACAGAGATGTTTGCACAGAGATTTCCTCAGGTAAAATGTTTTATATATTTGAGAAACTAAGAAATATTTGTATATATTTTGCAACTTAATCATTTTCCTCTTACTATGACGCACACTGTAAATGATTGACAGGAGATAAGAGGAAGCCGATAAGGACTGTTTGTGCTCACCTTTGCCATGCCCGCCCTCTCTGTGGCGACCTGCTGCTTTCTCCTTCCTGCGACAGACACAAAGAAATACAAATTAAAAACCAATAAATGGATTTAACAACTTCCTGTAAAACAGCAAGATTTTCATTTTGTTCATGGCTTGAACTGCTCCTTTAAAATGTAAAGTAACCTTGATTTAAGAGGTTCCATCACTGGCAGATAACTTTTCTCTTTTTGTATACAGAGCATTGAGGACACTTAACATTACGTTATGTTTCAGCATTAGGCAACAACCTCATCAATCGAGACCCAATATCTCACGAGGAAAAAGTGAGAACAGGATAATATGATTGCTTTAATTCAGGCAACAAAATGCCATAATGATCCATGAGGGATGCTGCCTGAGAGAAAACACTCTTCTTCCTTGTTATCATGATCACTAATGTTACATACTCAATGTCTAAAAGCCTTTAGTTTATTTTATTGTATATAGATTTCTGTTTTAGAGTAGATACATATTGTACTTGTTGTACATTTGATGAAGGTACGTTGTCTTCATTACTAATAAAACATGTCCCCGAAGCTGCAGAGTTTGGGTTTAGGGATGATAGGAGACCGGCTGAGGTCGATCTGAGGGACCGTTGGGGTTGGTAGGGGGTGAGGAGGTCAGTGAGGTGGGGGGGGGGGGGGGGGGGGCAGATGGTGGAGGGCTTTGTAAGTAAGGACCAGTCTTTTGTAGTTGATATGGGGGGAGACAGGAAACCAGTATAATTCAAGTTCTACAATGGAAATAATTCTTTAACTATGTAGATTATATCATTCATGACATGTGTTTCAAATGAATGTAACTGAAAACGTTCATCATAATAAAGATTAACAGATTTTGACACACCTCATCCCTCCCATCTGTAAAGCACCAGCTTTGCTCCCTAACTATCAGAGAAAACCTGGTATTTCTCAACACCCATGCAGATCAGAGGGAGGGAACAAACCAGCTGCAGTGAGAGGAGGAGCTACACTGGAAAGAGGAGAGCTTACACATCACACTCAGGAAACGAAAGTTATGTTAGTCAGAGAGGCAGCCACACTGCAGCCGAGACTAGTCTCCATTTCTGTCTACAGAAAATACAAACTGAGTTCATCAGATCTTTCTCAACAACACAGCAGAGTCTCTGTCAAACACTGGTGAGTACATCTGATTATATTTACACTTTCAACAAGCAGGATTAACACAAAACTTCAGCTCTACTCAGACGAAATCTCCACCCAACTCTAACAACATAACCATATGATATAGAGTCCACTTTAAACAGCTTAAACAGTCTCTTTGTATCAGCACTTAGTACTTTGTAAAATGTCCCTCTGTGGGACTGATCAAGCTTTTCTGATTCTGATTTAGTAACTTGTAACTTGTGTTGTGGTCTGGAGACCACCATTTAACGGTCTCGGTCTTGGACCTAAAGGTCACAAGATTTTGTGTCAAGAGCGAGCGAGACCGTTCTTATTATACATCCATGCAGGGGGGCTGCCAGGGATTTTGGGCCCCATGAAAAGATATCACATTGGCCACCACCACCAGGCCCAGGCCACGCCAACCAAGCACAATGCTGTAACCACACCTCCAGAACCCAACCCACTCATTTATGCTTTAAATAATTCTACCTGTACAGGCTTGTATCTATCTTGTAGTCCAATACTAACTGCACAATATTTACTGACTCTGAGTGGTGAACATATAACACTGTGCAGACGTGCAACATTCTGCTGCAGTAGAATTCACTATTTGATATAACACTAACATTCCTGACAATAAACCTCAATAGTCATCTTTTATGGTGTACATGCCTTTTTAATAACATTTTTGAATGGAACATTGAAAATAAAGTGAACATTAACACCAATATTATCATTTATAAAATGCTATAACAAAAAAAACAACATAAGCAGCAGATTTTTTTAATTAAATATAGCCTACTACAAAATAAGCGGGTATTAAAGTGTAAATGGACAACAAAACGGAAATGAATATGAAAAGTATTTTTCTCATCATGCATCTTGTGTGTAGTGATCCAATATCGTTACCATAGCCTTGCCCTTTAACAGTTATTACGAGCCCTGGCTCAGCCTTACTCACCAAGAGCATTCTTACAGGCAAAGTCACTGATCAAGTCCTTGAAGTCCAGCTTTCTAGCCAACTGGCTTTCAATGGACAGCATGGCAAGACTGCAAAGCCTTATGGGGGGACAGGGCTGCTGAGCCTAAAGATGGATCTGTTGGTCCTGGCACCAGGGGAGGGACAACTGATTTAGTATGAATAGCTGCTAAAAATGTACCTGCATGTATTACATGTCAGCTAAAAGAGGAGTGAAATGAAAAACCTCTGCATTTTCTGTGAAGATATTAACAAATAAAAATAAATAAATAAATGTAATTTATATAGCGCTTCTCATCTGCCAAGACAAATCTCGAAGTGCTTCACAACAAGGGATACTGATACACTTTGAGAGATTAAACAAATAATTGTAATAATAATAAGAAATCAAAAAATTAAAAAAAATAGAGTACAAAAGTAAAAGTCGGAGATAGCGATAAAAATGGCAATACTCCAGGTGTACCATGCTCAAAGTTTATTGGAAGGCCTGCCGAAAGAAGAGGGTCTTAAGGCCGGTTTTGAAGACCTCGGTGGAAGGGGCAGATCTCAGCTGATCTGGGAGGGAGTTCCAGAGGCGCGGGGCGAATGAGCAGAAGGCTCAACAGTACTTAAAGGTGGGGTAGATAATTTAGGAGAAACCAGCTCGAGTGCGCTAGAATTTGAAAATACACAACCGGAAAAAATCTGCCACTTCCTTCAGACTTCCTTACAGAGCCCCTCCTCCAACACACACGAACACGCACATGACCAATGAGGGCACGAGATAAGTTTGTGCACAGATGGAAGGCTGACAGGCAGGTAGGCCATCCAGTTACTTTAGCCGGGCCGGCTCAGATGATTGGTCGTGCTTTTTACAGTACTACGGCTTCCACAGATGTATGGATTTGCATGCAATATAACAACACGTGTATCTCGAGCCGCTTTCTCAAACTTACCTACCCCACCTTTAATGTCAGCAAAACATTACAATTATTATTTACAATGGACTAAGCTTAGCTAACAGACTAATTTCCACCACTCATGGACCACACCCACCTTTTCTTTTGAAAAACTGGGTGACATACTGTCGCCCTTTAATCCCTCTCTCTTGTCTTTCTCTCCTTTCTTTTCTTTCTTGAAAGCCTGACTTTGTTAGTCGTTGAGACATCGTACACTCTAAAAACAAATGCCTCAACAAAGAAAATCAACGCAACAGTTTGCATCGATGTTTATTGAGTTAAAACAACTTCTAATGAAAGTGTCTTAAAGCAACAAAGTTATTTGAGTTAGGGGAGAAGGCTTTTCCTCTACAATCAGAGGTGTTTTTAATTACCACTTACTTAATAATTGGTATTATAAACACAAGTTTTGAAGTTGATTACTCAAAAGATCAAGTTGTTCCAACTAGTTTTACCACATTATTTAAACTTTAAATTTTAAGTTGTATGTACTTAATTACCATCATTGTGAACACAAGTTTTTAAGTTGACAAACATTTATAAATTAAGTTGCTCCAAATATATTGTTTTCAATAGTTTTTTTTCTTAACTTTTTCATGTTTTTACCTTTAAAGAAAGAAAATAATTAATTCCACAACAAAGATATTAGACAATTCACTTTTTATTTTGAACTGCAGTTGTTTATTTCAACACATGTTGTTTCAATCAGGAGAGAATTTATTTTGTTTGAACATGTATTGACACATACAGTATGATAAGGTGCATGAACACCTGAAATCACAGCTGACTGCAGGAGAGAGGAGAACCATTTTATAGTTTGGCTGCAGCACGGTGATTGGCTGCTGGAGAATAAGGTGAAATGTAATAGGTTAAAGAGAACGCCTGTGATGAGCTGATTATATGCAGCTGCGGAGTGAATGTATATACACCCAGTCTTCCTGAAAGAACTTGCGCTGCGCTTCATTTCAATCTTGAAAAAAAAGAGAAATAACACAAATTTAAATGGCCCCACAAATAATAAATAAACACATTAACCATATTACCATGGGACATGGGGACACAGCAAATAAATGCTGCCATCACATCGAAGTTAGAGGCCTTTGCAGATTTAAAACCAGTGCCAAATGTGTAACATCTGTAAAGTCTTTGTAAAACTACAGAAACAAACTCTCAATGGCCACCAATCTGCAGATCACACACATCCATGTTACAAAAGATGTAACAAAGATGTTTACACAGCCGACAGTCATTATTTCAAACAGTATGAACACATTTAACGCAGAATGCTTGCTCATTCATTTGTTTCCCTCCACCACGATGGTTGCCATCGTATGGTCAGATCCTGGGGTGGACCGGTCACCGATGAAGGCGATATTCATGTCCTTTTGAAGCACATTAAATAATAGGTTAGCGCATAAGAGATAATGAATTAGGTAACTGCATACTTTTTAAACTGTCACTCTTAGCTAATTCAGAGCCATTATTACCAGCTGCTAAAGCAGTGGTTCTCAAAGTGGGGGGCGCGCCCCCCCAGGGGGGCGCAGAGGCATGACAGGGGGGGCGCGAGAGACCAGGAGGAAAAATTGTTATTAAAAAAAAAAAAAAGATTATAAAAAAAAAAAAAAAATCATACTTTGAAAAATTATTGATTCGAAAATAATATGATACAGTACTATTACGTCTGGGTCTCTGTGTTTCATTAAAGCTCGGCTCTGTGTGTGTGTGTGTGTGTGTGTGTGTGTGTGTGTGTGTGTGTGTGTGTGTGTGTGTGTGTGTGTGTGTGTGTGTGTGTGTGTGTGTGTGTGTGTGTGTGTGTGTGTGTGTGTGTGTGTGTGTGTGTGTGTGTGTGTGTGTGTGTGTGTGTGTGTGTGTGTGGAACGAGCCATTTTGTGTGCGTGCGTGAACGAGAGAGAGAGATAGCGCACCGGTACCGGAGATCGTTGATGTTAGCTTCTGGTGCTAGCGAGCTATGCTAACGGATATAAGGAGTTTTTTTAACAACAAAGTGGAGGAGAGTCCTCTCCTGTCAGACTGAGAGTCTCAGTGAGCTAAAGGACTCTCAGTGTTATCTCAGTGGGTCTCAAACGTTTTGGTCACCATTAATGTAAACAATTATTTCCGAGGCACACGTTTATATGATCATTATAGTTATAAAAAAATAAGAGAATACATGAAAAACAGCTATGAAATACTATATGACAGTAAAACAAGAATAAAGTTTAAAAGAGTGATTTATAAAATATCCATAAAGAAATAGTAAATCTGTTTACAATTCTGTTTCATCTGGGTGTTGAGAGATGTATTCATAGATCTCTTCATTTTGCTCTCAAAGTGCACCAGATTGATGCTTTCAACTTCAATATTTAAAAATCTTCCCGGGGGAGCATGCCCCCGGACCCCCCTATGTGAGGTCCACACACCACCTATAAAAATAGCACTTTACCCCTGCTTACACCTATATGCCGAGACTTGATATCGAGCCTTCATTGTAACAGTCGCGGGTACATAGTGTATGTGCGTGGGGAGTGTTGCAGTAGAAAATTCCACTGTAGCGACCGGTACATTAATGGGAAACCCTAAATGTTTGAGCACGCTCTATGAAAGGTCAAGCTACCCCACAGCACCCCCAAAAGAAATCTCTGGCGCCGCCGCTGAGCCTGACTATTTGTGTTGGGGGGGCCCGACTTTTTTTTTTCTCCAAAGGGGGGGCCTGACCGAAAAAGTTTGAGAACCACTGTGCTAAAGCAACGCTGCTATTGTTTTCACCTATTGAGTCTGCATGTGTGTGTCGTCATGGCAATGTGGTCCTGAAGACACACAGAGGTGCTTTTGAGTACTTTGCCTAGTGTTTAAATGCATGTGGACAGATTTTTTCAATCACAACCGTGCAAGTTTTAGTGTATCTTCTCATCTTTTTTGCAGGTTCCATACAATATGTGAACTGGTTAAGAGAAGAGCAGAAGCCACTTTTCAAATGTTACACAATCCTTTTCCCATGCCATTGCTGTCAACACCTATCCATGCTGAACGTTGCTAAGATATTATTGATTGGGGTGTGGCCAAAAGTGCTTCAAAATGTAACTGACAGAGAGCAG